GAAATCTTTTCGTAAAATATCGTGTACAAATTTGGTTCAGTGTAGGCACTTGAACCTATTTGCGTTTAAGTTTTAATGAGCACTTGAACTAATTAAAACTCAAGGAATGTTTGGTATTGAATGCCTGTTTATTAGAAAATGTTGTGCTTTTATACAAATAAGGCAAGGTGTTGATACATACATTTCCCACGATAATGCTCTATACCTTAAGCTGCATTAAAGTAGCAATTAGATATCGCTCAGCTTAGTCGTGGAAATTGTATGCATTGACAAATAAGAATATTACTTGCGTAATTTCCTTAGCAACCTGGTATATGCTTATAAACTTATTTTCTTTTAACCTTGAACTAAGTCCATATATCAGCTTGCTTTACAAACATAATTATTATTTAATAAGTACAATACTGACCTTTCACAAGCAAATTTTAATTTCTCATAATGCTCTATATTAAAGAATTGCACATGCTAAATGCATGGCTTATCTGCAGTTTCATATGACGAGCAAAGTGTGCTCGTGTGATATACAACTGTTGTTGTTGTTTTGATCAATTTTGATATCTTAACCCACCGTTCAAGGCTAAGACATCAAGTCATTAACATTATGAGAATAAAAATTTGCTTTGACAACAAAACAAAAATAATAGAATAAATCTGAAATATATATCAATAGTCAATCCTATTCTGCTACTTCGAACTCGGACATTGCATGTTGCTCTTGAACTCGTCTTCGTGGTTGTGGGTGGGGTGTACCAATCCTGTGACGGTGTGTATTTCTTCTGAATAAATATCGACCGATTATGCTGCAGAATATGAGCACGCTGAGACCAAGTGCCATATATTCCACAATAGTGGTGCCAAACTTCGTTACTTTTGGGTATTCGTACCTACCCGTTACTTTTCGAGTATGTATTCGTTACTCAGTATTAGTTACTCAATATTCGTTACTGCGCTTTCGTTACTGCGGTTTCGTTACCAAAGTTTCAATGCTATTGTTTCGGCATATAGGGGAATTTTTTAAAGCATGTATATTAAATTATATTGCATATTATTGTAAATTTTGATTTTAAGTAAAATTCCATAATTTCTGTAAGTGCTGTATAAATTTATTGAATTAATAAACAATAATAATAAAAATAATAAATAATATATTATATTAACATATTATATCAAGAAAACATTTAACGCGTTGTTTGATTGCTTTAACAGCTTTAATTATATTATATTATATATATATATAAGTGACAATTTTTAATAAAAACGATTTTTTTATTTTTTATATAAAAACTTTATTAGTACTTTGCACGATGCAAGCTTAACTTCTACTAACTAAAAAAAGGTTTTACCTGCTTAGCGCAGCAAGTTCTTTTTTGTTCAATTTAATGATGTTGGGAGAGAGCTTAATGTCACTCCTCCCACCTTAAAAATAAGCAATATTCCTATTGCGTTAAATACACATAATATTTCATATATTTTATAATATTTTATATTATATTTTATAAAGGATAGTTGTAATAATAATATCTGTTTTAATTGATATAAATTTATACAATACAATATATAAAAATAATAAAAAAAAATACAATTTCATTTATGACATTAATTTCTTCAAATTTTCTTCTTTTTTTTTTTTTAAAATATACGTTAATTATATTAATATAATCTATTTTAATTTTTTTTAATCCATTTTAATAGTTTACAAATATATTTTATAAGAGATGATTATAATAACAGTATTCGTTTTAATCGATATAAATTTATACAATACAATTTCATTTGTGACTATTTTAAAATTTTTTTTTTCGTTTAAATTGACTTTTATATTTTCTTATATTCTTGTTTTTGAATTTAACTAAAAAGTGTTCATTGTCACTATCGGCTCGAACTAATGCTACTTGCTTAAATGGATTTTTTGTTTTATCAAGACGTTTTCTCACATTTTCAGCGTTGATTAAACCAATATTTATCGAATTTTCTTTTCGTGTTTTATTTAAATTGTTAATTCTATTTTCTTTAATGAGTTGTGAGTCAAATTCTGGAGGTAATCGGTTAAAAAATATGTTATATGGAGTTTGACCAGTAGTAGAATGTATTATGGTGTGATTATATGTGAAAACGGATTGTTCGAATTGAACATATTTTAGTTCCCTGTCATCTGAGGTGTTAATTATTCTAAGTTTTTCATTCAAGGTTTTATGGAAACGTTCAATGTCTGCTATACCGGTTTTTCCAGTACAAATTTCAAATTTAGTTATAGTTATTAGTTTTTGTATATTCGCATTGATTGTGAATTATGTTCTTAAGAATCTAAATCAGGAATAGGATTACGTTTTTCTATAACTATCTAGGATTACGTTGTTCCATATAACTATCAGAATGTTCTACTAAACTAAATTCATATGTGAGATAATCCTACCGACTGCGCCAGTGACAATTTTTAATAAAAACGATTTTTTTATTTTTTATATAAAAACTTTATTAGTACTTTGCACGATGCAAGCTTAACTTCTACTGACTAAAAAAAGGTTTTACCTGCTTAGCGCAGCAAGTTCTTTTTTTGTTCAATTTAATGATGTTGGGAGAGAGCTTAATGTCACTTATATATATATATATGAAATAATGTATGTATATTAGTAATAAAAATTATTTTAAGAATTCTTTGTTTTTATTCAAAAACATGAGTTGTTGAATTTTTGAGCTTTTTAACCTGCTTCTCCGGTCTGATATTAATTGTCCGCTTTTCGAAAAAATTCGTTCTGAAGGAACTGAAGTAGCTAGAATTGATATAAATATTTTCTTGCTAGTTCTTGCTAGCTTCCACCATTCAAGTGGATTTGATTTTCGATCAACTAATGGCTCCTCTAAGTACATTCGTATCTCGATTATAGCTAAGGCAGTTGGAGTTTGAGTTTGACTACCCACCAAGGAGTCATCAAAATCTTGCCAAACTAAATCCTCGTCATCGTTTCTTGAAGTACTCCTGGATTCATTGCATAGCCTTTCATTCGATATACTCTTATTATTAATAAGAGCAGTTATTTCACTTTGAACTCTTTGTTTTATAGTTTGAAAGGCGATATCACTTGAAAAGGCTTTTTTTTTAAACCTGGGGTCCAGAAACGCTGCTGTCGCCATTAAAGAATTGCCTTCCAAATTAACAAATCTAGTGGAAATAGAGTCCTTAAGTGTTTCAGCCATTTTTTTCCCTTCTATTGATGTTATTTCCTTAGAAAGTTTGGTTACAACCGCATTCAATCCTCGTACAATATTAATTACTTTAGATAGAGTGACATTATTTTCTGAGCTCATTTCCGTCGTAATTTGTTCGAATGGTTTTAAAATATTTAAAATTTCTTTTATAATACAGCAATCATTTTCCGTTAGGGCCTCCAATGGAATGCGTAAAATACCAATAGTAGCTGATATAGCTTCAGTTATTTTTATAATCCTATCGAACATATAACAGGTTGAATTCCACCTAGTTGGGCAATCATTTTTTAATTTTAAAACTGTTGAATTTAAGGACAACTTCTGTTGCGCTTGAAGTTTAGTATTGCTAACGTACTTCGGTTAAAGTACTCAGCAATATTTTTTGATTTTAGTCTAATATGCTCAATATTTTTTAAGCCTTTTTGAATTATTAAATTTAATGTGTGAGCGAAGCATGGAACATGACACCATCCACACAAAGTAACAGCACGTATAATATTTGCTGCATTGTCTGTTGTTACAGCAAATATTTTATTAGTCAAACGCCATTCATCTATTATTCGCTGTAAGAATTACGTTTTGTAAAATAGCATAAAAACCAAAATTATTTGCCTTAATTATATACCTTAATTTCTGCTGCCAAATTTTCTGAGGTATGCTGGAACCTACATTCCACGCAGCTAAGCAAACAGGAGTTAAATTTCCAATTTTGGGATATGAAATGTGCTGTCACAGCCAAATAGCTTTCATTAGCATTAGAAGTCCACATATCTGTTGTTAATGATATAGTTTTAGCTTCTTGTAAGATATCCAGTATTGATTCTTTCGCTTTATTATATTTTTCCATAAGAAAAATTGTACTAAATGTTGTTCTTGATGGAAACACATAAGATGGTTCGAGACCCAACACGAGTTTACGAAAACCAGTGTCATTAATAATAGAAAATGGCTGTACATCTTCAACTATTACATCCAAAATTAAGTTGTTAATCTTTATTTGACGTGGGAGTGATAACGGTCGCATTACAAAACTTTCAAGAGAAGTTTGCGTTATTCTTGGTGCAGCCACCAAACCAGGGGTTGATGGAACTACCGTTGGTGAGTTAGTGCTGCTACTCCCTATATAGTAAATGAACTTGCTTTATCATAGTGAAACTATATATAAAATTTGCTTTACCTTCGCCAAGTACTTCATGGAAAGCAACTTCACGATTCCGTTTAACGGCGCTTAGGACCGTGGGATGCTTAATGTTTAAATGCTTTCTCAAATTTGAAGTAGAACCGCCTTTTATTGAATAGTTTGTTCCACATAATCTGCATTTAGCTTTTTCACTTCCTACCGGTTCAAAATGAATCCAAATTTCACTTTTTTTTATTATTAATATTTTCACACATTTTTAATAAATTTGAAAACGAACAAAATTTTTGAATATAGTAGTTGTTATTAAACCGCGAAAACAGCTGTTGAAAGTAATCGTTACCAAGTACTCAAAAGAGTAGGTAAAACGAATACTACTCATTGGTAAAATGAGTAAAAGTAACGAATACAATAAAAAGTTTGTATTCGTTATTATTTTCATCATTAGCTGTCTCCATGCTGATGTTTTCCAACTTTAAAGATGATTGCCGAGGAATCGCTGTCACTATTGGGCTCGAATGGAAACTTGTGTGGGAATATTTTAAGCGAGTAGTCATTGTGTAATGGCTGGTTATTGTTGCCGTATGATGTGAGAGTATGCACCCTGGTGGGAGCTCAAGTAAACCTGTATTTTGCAATTTCACCTGAGAATGGTCATTGTCACATACTGCGTTTAGCTTTACAGGGTTTCTTGCGACGAACATCCATTGATTTTGTGCAACAGACTGGATCCATAAGGTATTACTTGTGAAACTTTACCAATTGCAAGATGATGTACTATTATTAAATAGATTTACTTCGCAAGTGCACTTGCCTGATTCAAGAGAATATATTTCTTGCGTATCTGAACAGATGAAGACATCATTTTTTGAAGACACACATTGTGACAACTGTATTTCTGAAATCGGAAAGTATCCATTCCTATGAGTATTGAATGCCATCATAGACGTGCATGGTGTGATTGTCACGTATTCTCCGTTTATGATCCCTGGAACGGGAATAACAACGAATAAATCAAAGGACTGATCATTGATTAGTGGTAGACTTATTTGAAACAACATTTTAGTATCAACTAAACCGCTGCTGACTGTCATAAGAGAATATAGCTCAGAAATGTTGCTCATGTTAACCGGCAACTGCATTGTTGACCTGAGATGTTCCCTCATTGTAGTAACCTCATTTATAAGATGCTTTGGCGTCAGGAGAAATGGGCTGATTTTTCCATGATTTGTGTCGGTCAACACAAATCAAAATTGCTGATTCGTAAAATTGAATACTTGTTGTTACACTTAGTAGTTGAGTTAAAATCGCAGTGAAAAGTTGGTGGAGTTTTAAATTATAAATTTCCTTGTCCTCTTCTAACATTTTTGCCTTTACATCGTTTAATCGCTCGACTGTTAATTCCAAGGTTGTTTGATACTGCTGCTGATTTCGTTTCATGATATTTAGAATAGAATCTAAAATTGAAGTTTGGTTTTTTAAAAGGTTAAGCAAATGTTTGTCGTCATTTTTTAGTTGTTGAATCGTCTGCGCCATATTTTTAGCGTATTCTGAGTCCAAAACGCCGAATACTGCATTCGCAATGTTACCCACTAAATCAATTGCGCCTCTCTTCTTTCTTTTGTTAATCTGCATTATGTTTGCAGATAACAATTCATTTCTCGCTGCCTTGAACTGTTCAACTAACGTCCAGCAGTGATTATATGAATAAATTCGTATGCAATGCCATTTTAAATTTTGTTTATTTAATTAAATTGTAATTAATTAAAGTAATAATAGCAATAATTCTTATTACAAATTCTTATTACAACTATGTATAAAACATACAGCGCACAATTCTTTTTGGTTTTTAAGTTTTGCATATTATCTCTTTTTTTATTTTTCTTTAATAATTTTTCTTTAGTAATAGCATTATTATAACAGATAATAATGATGTATACAGCGTACAATTCTTGTTGGTTTTTAAATTTTGTTTATTATTTTCTTTTTTATTTTTCTTTTATTATTATAACAGATAATAATAACACATTAATAACACATTTTTCCATGATTTTCACAATAATCTTAGTATTCTTGACTTCAACAGTCACTATTTTTATCACTTCAAAGCCATTTAACGATAAGTAAGTTTCACTGTATTTCCTGTATTTTCCATTTTCCATCAAAACAAAATTGTTATTTATATAGCTTTAGCGATTAGAAGTCACATACTCGTCATCATGTGTGCTTTAAATGAAAAGTAAAGTGCAATAATTCATTACTGTTTTTGTATTAAATTGTCAATTAAAATTTGCACTAAATACCACAATGAATTTAATATTTTTTATTTTAGTCCTGTCACGGTCGCCATGTAGTGATTGAAAACCGAGTTCTGTTTTAAGACTGACTTTATTTATTAAAAATATGTTTATACAAAGTTCATATTTGGAGGAGCAGTGTGCATTAGCATACTGTGAGAATTTGCTGAATTGGCGTCTTCACACGCCAGCCCAAACACTATCGTCAAACGGACGGTAGGGGCTCATATTGCAAGAATGCAATAAAGGTACAATAAATATCAGCATACTTATTTACTCACATAGTGTATGCTTATGCACGCTACACCATTCATCAACTTACACACGTTCGCTAAGGATTCGGTTCCATTTTCAATGAATTCAAACTCCTGCTGCAATGGACTTAAGTCATAATATGCTATGATTTTCCATTCTGCTTGTGATCTTTTGATGACTCCTTTGTGTTCGAAATGAATGCCTGGTGTGTTATTAAATGATTTTATTGTGATACCTAACCCTGATATGAGTGGTATCCATAATAGTACCAGCAATGCAATGGCTAGCAAGTTGATGTTGAGTTTTGCTCGTTTTTTAGGCTTTTCTTCATCACATCTATCAAGTTGCATCATGGGGGTTGAACAATCTTCCGGCAATAATGTTGCTAGCCGATGTATTGGACGCTTCCAAATCCCGTTTTTCGTTTTGACATCTACAACTCTGATTCTTCCATCATTACCGGAATAGCATTTGATGATTCTGCCCAGAGGCCATTGAAGCGGAGGAGCGTTGTCTTCTTGAATGATTACCAGCATTCCTTCTTTGACGTCAGGTGATTGGTCCTTCCATTTAGTGCGACACTGTAGCTCATTAAGATACTCCTTTGACCATCTTGACCAGAACTCGTTTTTTAGATGATTCACCTGCTTCCACCTGGTTAAAAGCGATTGTTTGGTTGTAGTTTCTGACCTACTTGGAAGGGCTGTTAGCGGTTCTCCTATTAAGAAGTGTCCTGATGTGAGGGCAGCCGGGTTATTTGGGTCTGATGACAACGGTGTTATTGGTCTGGAGTTTAGCATACTTTCAATTTGGGTGACCACTGTTTCCAATTCCTCGTTAGTGAGTGACACGTTGCCAATAGTTCACACCAGTAGATATTTAGCTGATTTGACAGCAGCTTCCCATAATCCTCCGAAATGTGGTGCTCTCGGAGGTATAAAATGAAAAACAATTCCTTAAGCTGAACAGGATCTTATTATGTTGTTTTGAGCATTTGTGCTGTGAATGCTTTCAGCTAACTCGTTCATTTGATTTTTAGCGCCCACAAAATTAGTCGCGTTGTCACAATATAAGTTCTGACATCGACCTCTTCTTGACGTAAACCGGTTCAAAGCACCTAAGAATGCATCCGTGGTGAGATCACTAACAACTTTCAAATGTACTGCCTTCGTGGAGAAGCAGTAAAACACTGCGATGTACGCTTTGCATGGTCTTTTGCCTCTAATTTTGTGGTGTATCCATATGGGACCACAGAAGTCCACACCTGCGTTGAAAAAAGGCCTTTGAGCTTGGACTCTGTCAGCTGGTAGATTGCCCATGATTTGTTTGAACATGTGTGGGCGTACTCGAGTGCATTGTACACAATGTTGCACAATGGATCGAACCATAATCTTGCCTTTTATTGGCCAAAATCGCTGCCTGCACTGGGCTAATAATGTTTGCGGTCCGCAGTGAAGTCCCTTCTCATGTAAATGTTTCATTATGAGCTTAGCTATTGGATCGTTATATGGCAGCAGCTGGGGTGTTTGGCATCGTAGGTAAGATGTGACGACGTCAATCGACCCCAACCCTGATGGCGCCACTATCGTCGATAAATGGAGAAAGTCCATGGAGACTACTGCTTCCCTTCAGATCCCTTTTCTTTAAGAGTTGATGTCGTTCTTCATTAAAATCACTTAGCTGTAGGGCTTTTATAATTATGAGTAATGACTCATCCAGTTCTAATGGTGTCAAATTGATGTCGTTGTGCTTGCTCTTATTACGTAACCCTTTGATGAATTTCAAAACATACCCAAGAATTCGTTGCAACCTTATGAATGAGTTTCCATGCCTTATCGTATAAATCATTTTGATTAGTTCATCATCATGTGAAATTGTAAGCACATGTACCTTCCTTTTGACTTCCGCTTGTATATGGTCGGATGTTATCAATTCCTAACGGAATGGTTGGGGCCAGCATTCTTGATTTCCATGAAGGAAAAGTGGCCCATAAAACCACATTACATTCTTCTGAATGTAAATTGGATCTACACCTCTGGATAATAAATCAGCTGGATTTTGTTTAGTATTGACATGCCTCCACTGTTCCTTTAGTGTTAATTGCTGAATCTTACTGATACGATGAGCAACGAAAGTTTGGAGTGTTGATGGTTCTGAATTGATCCAATGAAATGTTATTTCAGAATCAGTCCACATATATATCGGATGTTCATATTCCAAATCCTTTCTTACCTTTACTACCAATTGTGCTCCTAGTAAAGCCGCACATAACTCAAGTCTTGGTATTGTCTGCGCATTTAGTGGAGCGACGCGTGATTTTGAACAAAGTAACTGAACTGAGATAGTTCGATCAGTCATTTCGGATCTGATGTAAATGGCAGCTCCATAGGCCCTTTCGGAGGCATCAGTAAATACATGAATCTGAGTATTCCTTGGTTGTTTATGATGAAATATATGTCGTGGAATCTTTACATTGTTTACTTCACATAAGCTCTGATGAAAATGGGTCCATTGAGTATGCATTTCAGCAGGCAGAGCTTCATCCCACGATAGTTTTAACTGCCCCAATTTTTGAACAAATATTTTCGCCTTCACTACTACTGGAGCCATTAATCCAAGCGGATCAAAAATGTGCGCCAAGTCGGAACTTACGGTCCTCTTTGTTATTTTGCTGTTTGTAGGTCCGTTAGTTTTTATTGAAAATTGATCAGATTTTGGTAGCCAGATAAGGCCTAGAGTTTTTACTGTCTTATGTGACTCACTGCTGACATCGAGATCCACTTCTTGATCTTCTGGAGCGAGTCCTTGAAGTAGTTGGGCATTATTTGCGCACCACTTGCGAGGTTTGAAACCAGCTGTCGCCAATATTTTAATAAGTTGATCCTTTGTTGCAATTGCCTCCATGAGACTGTCTGAGCCACTTAAACCGTCATCCACATAAAAATCCTTGCTGAGTGTAGCGGAAATTTAACGGCATGCTCTCTGGCCAGGGTTTGTAGACACTTAGTTGCCAGATACGGCGCTGCTCTTGTGCCATACGTTACCGTTTTTAATTTGTAATAGCACAAGTTTTCTTCTGGTGACTCTCGCCCGATAATGATTTGAAGATATTCATCTCTTGGATCAACTAGTATCTGTCGATACATCTTTTCAATATCTGTTGTAAAAATGAGCGTGGTTTCCTGAAACGCAGTAAAATGGATGAGAGTTCGTTCTACACGACTGGACCATTATGCATGATATCATTGAGTGAGACTCCGGTTGATGTTCTTGCAGATGCATTAAACACCACTCGAAGCTTTGTTGTAGTACTATCTGCCTTGATTACACAATGATGTGGCAAAATGTAATGTGGATGCATTATATCATCCTGATTGATTTTTTCCATGTGGCCGAGATGTTCGTACTCTCGCATGAAGTCAACGTACATCTTCTTTAGTTCAGAATTCTTCAACAGCCAACGTTCAAGACTAAAAAACCGATTCATCGACATCTGCATGGATTCACCAAGAACAGTTGTATCCTCCTTAAATGGTAGTTTCACGACAAATCGCCCTTCATAATTGTGGTGAGTATTTTGAGCAAAAGATTTTTCACATTTCTTTTCTGCATCAGTGAATTTGTCATCCGTTTGATTGATTTCCTCCAATTGCCAGAATTTAGTAAGTATATTATCCAATGCTTCGTCGTCAGCTTCGCTGCACATGCCACAGGTAAGTAATTTTTGATTACCGTTGCTAACTTTGCCACTGCATATCCATCCGAAAACCGTGTTCTGAAGTGCAGGTAGACCCTCACCTATTTTGATTTGACCAATCGATAAAAAGCTGTGATAGAATTCTGCTCCAATTAATAAGTCAATTTGATTTGGATTCGCGAAGTCTGGATCAGCCAATTTTATATTCTCAGGAAGTGTCCAGACACTGTGTTGGTTGGGCTGAGATAATTCATGGCATCACGAATGCGTTGATATTTACATTGAAATCATTAATTCGAGACTGAATTTTTGTTGTCACACTGTATTTTGTGTCTCTTTTGCTTCTACCAATTCCTTCTATCCATAACGGTGATGAATGTAACTGCAATTTAAATTTTCTTGCCAGTTTTTCTGTGATTAAGTTTATTTGTGATCCAGAATCGAGTATTGCTCTGCACTCAATGAAATTACCATCAAACGTAGCTATTTTCATATTAACTGTACTAAGAAGAACGTATCCCTTTTTTTGTGTTAATGCTGTGATTACAGTAGAAGGTTGATGACCGGGTTTCTCAACCGATGAATCTGATTTGACATTGATCGATTTGTGTGTTGTCTTGGAAGACTCTGATAAGTGCAACAACGAATTGTGGTCCTTGCTGCACTTGTTGCACCGGGAACTTTTGCATTCTGCTGCCCTATGGCCTGTACGTAAGCAGTTCAAGCACAGTCTAAGTTTTTGTACTGTCTTGATACGACATTGTGGTGCTGATTGCAAGAATGTTTTGCAATAATATATCGGATGTGATCCATTATTACAGAACTTACAGGTGTATATATTTGCCTTTCCCATAGTTGTGGCAAGGGTTTTTGCTGAGCATGGCTTCTCCCTATGGCCAATCGCCTCTAAGGACTGGAATCGTGATTCCAGGAAAACCATGAACTCCTTAATCGACTGAATCTCTCTTGGGTGAGTCAGCGACTGTTCATACAAAATGCGAGGCTGCTTATCTAGTTTGAGGAGCAAACTATGAAGCAGTAGCGGCGACCATGAATCAGTTTCGAGTCCCACATTCTTCAGTGCCAGCAATCCTTCAAAAGTAACATCATGGAGTGTCCTTATTTCTGTCGCTGAAGGATTGGTTGATTTAGAATTCTTTGAATGATTGTTGCTACAATAATTCTTTTGTTGTGATATCGTTCTTGTAGCAAATTCCATGCCGTTTGATAATTCTCGTTGGTTATTGACAGGTGTCGGACTAAACCTTCTGCTTCTCCTGTTAAACTACCTTTGAGATACCACATTTTCTGAGCGTTAGAAAGCTGCTGCTTGTGCTGCTTCGATGAACAAATCATAGAATTGACACCACTTCAAATAATCGCCATCGAATTTTGGTATTGTTGCCTTAGGCAGTGATATCCCAGCGCTGTCTGGTTTACTGATTCCTTGTTGTAATTGTTCATTATTTGCTTTCATTGAAGCTAACGAAATTAAAGTTGACTGAACCAATTCTTCTATTTCGAGATACTCATCGAGTTTATATCCCGCTGTAGTCGGATTGTTGGTGTACTCCCAAATTTCAAAATTAATGGCTTCAATCTCATTCCATAGCTTCTCAATTCTTGCCATATTCACTTCATAAAAGGATTTCATCTGAACGCCTGTTTGACGATTGATGCCTGCTATGAGTCGCTTCAGTGATACACAAATTGCACCTTGCTTGTGTATCATTCGTGCTATACTCGTGCTATATTGTCCTTCCCTCGGTGACGGCATCGGTTGACGTGCTGTCGTTGCTGACTCCTTTGAGGAAGGTGTTGGAGGTATTTTGGTTGACAATTAATTTTCGAAAATCTGCTCATATTTTTCAAATAATCCCTTGATTTCCTGAAAGTAGTTGTTGGTAAAATATGAAACGCTCGTATCCAAATCTGGTAAATTCCTGATTTGTGTGTCGTTATGTTCATATTGTTCCCATAATTCGTTGAGTCGCCTAATACGCTCTTCATAGTAGCGAGGGGATGTCTTCCTCTCTTTTGAGTCCTTTTTGAAGTTAGTGATCAGTTGTTGGATTTGTTTTCTCAATTCTGATTGTTTGGCAATCAATACTGCCATGACTTCCATGGTTGTAAATACAGCAATAATACCCTTCTGAGCAGGTTCACTGGATTGATGATAACGTGATCCTCACGGTGGATCACGTCGGGGTCACCAAAAATGTTCAATAAGTCGTTTCTTATTGAAACTGAATCGACACTTGAATCGATTCAGTGTTGCTTCTGTTTAGGAATCTGGCATTTGAACCAGTTTCTATTGCAAAATCTGAATTTGGCACTTAAACCAACTTCAGGTGAATTCAAACAATATTTTTAAGCAACTAGGCACTTGAACCTATTTGCGTTTAAGTTTTAATAAGCACTTGAACTAATAAAAACTCACGGAATGTTTGGTATTGAATGAAAAGTTTATTAGAAAATGTTGTGCTTTTATACAAATTTGGCAAGGTGTTGATACATATAATTATCACGATAATGCCCTACACCTTAAGCTGCATTAAAGTTGCGCTTAGATATCGCTCAGCTTAGTCGTGGGAACGGTCACAGTTCTCATGGAAATTGTATGCATTTTCGAATAACAAATAAGAAATATTACTTGCGTAATTTCCTTAGCAACCTGGTATATGCTGATAAACTTATTTTCTTTTAACCTTGAACTAAGTCCATATACCAGCTTGCTTTACAAACATAATTATTATTTAATAAGTACAATACTGACCTTGCACAAGCAAATTTTAATTTCTCATAATGTTCTACATTAAAGAATTGCACATGCTAAATGCATGGCTTATCTGCAGTTTCATATGACGAGCAAAGTGTGCTCGTGTGATATTCAACTATTGTTGTTGTTTTGATAAATTTTGATATCTTAACCCACCGTTCAAGGCTAAGACATCAAGTCATTAACATTATAAGAATAAAAATTTGCTTTGACAACAAAACAAAAATAATAGAATAAATCTGAAATATATAATTTGTAATATATTACTTAAAATACAAGATTTGTCGATCTTAGGCTGATCATTATTATGTCCAGATTGGACACCGTTCCTCGGCTATTTCCTCGTCTAAGAAGTCTACTATAAGTCTAAGAATCCCACGTTGTACAAGAAAAATAATCAAGAGTTTAATATTTTAGTATTTGCACTGCACTGTTTAATGTCCAAGAAAGCAAAAGAAAAGAAAGCTTCTTCCTGGTTCACGCACTTTTATATCGTCAGCAATCAACGGTGTCATCTGTAAATGCGTTAAAGTTCAATGGCCATTGATCGAAGCTCTGTTTCTGTTCCCTCTGCAATGCACCAAGGAAAAGTACACCTTTACGGCAAATTTTGTTTATCACTTATGTGGAAGCTGGATATTATTCTTGCCTAAGCTTTGATCTAATTCCACATCTTGTACAAAAGCTTTCTTCATTTTGAAATTTTCTCTATTGTTTTGTTTTGTTTTGATTTTATTAAAATGTGTTACAAATGTATGACGGTGCAAGTGATTTATTTTATAAAAATATTAAAAGAACGATAACTCAAGGTAGGTATAGCACTCTTTTATTCAAATATATTTGTCTAGTAACGGCAGTCTAGTAAATTCATATTTGGAATGTCGTGTTCCTTGCGTGAAATCTGATGAAATTCACTTTTAAGGTCCAAAACTGTGAACAATTTTTGATTTCTCATTTGTGTTAAAACCTCATTTATATCGGGAATCGGGTGTCTGTCTGATACAGTCACAGTATTAACTTTTATGTAATCTACTACCATTCGATATTTTTTTTGTTGGAAGCATCTAATTTTTTTTGGACGACCTATATTGGTGAGTTGTAAGGTGATTCTGATTATCTGATCATTCCCTGGCTCAATAGCTCTCTTATTTGTTTTTCGACCTCATCTTTCATTACCACAGGGTAAGAATAGTGTCTAGAGTATGTTGGGTTTTTTCGTTAGTTTGTTATTGCCGCCAAACCCCATAACACTTGTGCCTGGTCCATTGAATCCTTCGACACCCAAACATTCTGTTCCGCGTTGTGTTATTATATTAATATCACTACCCGTATCTACCAGGACTTCGAATGACTGCTTCAATATTTGAATTGTTAATGTGAAATCCGAGAGTTGCACTCTATCAATTCGTGATGTTGAACTACGCGCTTGATTTGGTTTTTGTTGGCTTATAGGCCGCCTTAAATTTGCATTATTTTGACATGATGTGGCAATGTGACCAAATTCATTGCACTTAAAACAGCTTCTTCCTCTCACCCTATCTGGGCAATGTTGAGTTTAAAGTTTATATTATTTTGTACCGGTTTACTTGACATATTTAATGTTTCACCGTCCGCTGTGTCACTCTCGATTTTATTATTATTATTCGCGTTCACTAATTTTTCTTCTTTTAGTTTTGCTGGGTAGCTGTCTTTTTTAGATATTTCTTTTCGTTTAACTTTTGCTTCTATGCTAAACTTTCTTGCATTCTCAAGTGATAACTTGAGTCGTGCTTTTTAAATCTACCTTGTGTATCATTTATTTTTTTGTTTGGTAAGGATGGTAACTTACCAAATACCAGCTCATGTGGTGCGTAACCTGTATCAGAGTGGGGGGCAGTATTATATGCAAAAGTATAGTACGGTAACCAAACGTTCCAGTCGTTATCATCAGCAAAGTTTAGTAGGTATTCGTTTAGAACTCTATGGTTCCTTTCTACTGTACCAAGTGTTTCGTGATGATATGGGGTTGAAAATATTTATTTAATTCCCATAATATCAGTAACTTTAGCTAACAAATCATTCAAAAATTCTCTACCTCGGACTGATTTTATAAAAAAAAAAAAGTTGTTCTACTAGTGTTTTGGCTATGGATTTAGCATCTTTATTAATCATTGGGTATGCAGTTATGAATCTACTTAATTCACATTGCATAGTTAATATGTATCTATAACCGTTCGCAGGTCTTAAGGGTCCAACGGTGTCGATTTGTACTGTTTCGAAAGTTGTGTGAGGGGTTGTAGTTATTTGAAATTCTTCTCGACTATGACGGATTTGTTTGTTTTGTTGGCTTTTTTCACAAGTGGTAATATATTTATATACCATTTGTTTCATTTTCTTCCATGTGTATCTTTGTTTAAGTTTTATCATCGTTTTACGAACTCCCATATGACCGCTGAGAGGGTTATTATCATATTCCTCTATCAATCTAAATTTTTATATCGTATCTTTCACGTATTCCGGCTTTTTTTATAACAATATTTTTAAACGATTCTTATTTTTATTATTTTGTTGCAACTTATTTATCATCGTCTTAAATTCATTTTTATCCATGGATTTAAATATAATATCATCATCTGCTAACGCTAGTTGTAAAATAATTGATTTTTCTATTTGTGTAATAAGCTTCACCATAAACGAAATCGGCTTCGGAGGTACTTCGCATAATTCCACTATAACTTTTTTATCATTATATAATATGGATGCATCCTTATTTCTTTGTTTATTTTTTATTTTAAACTGCAGTTTTCTTACTCCACGAATGTCGCTAATTGAAGTACAATCCCAACAATAGAGTTGATCAGGCTCAGTGGTTCTTGTATTCAATTTCATATCCGTATTAGTTGTTTTTGTGTTTGCGCATTTTGGTTTTCTTCGAGTAGTTATACATACTCGAGTTTCGTTATTCAATTTACTTAATATTTCTTCTTCTACCGGATTGGATAATTTACGTGTTGCGGTCGTGTCATCTTTAATTGGTATTAGTGATTGTAGTATATTAGAATCTATTTTGATTCTAGATAAGGCATCGGCGTTAGTATTTATTTTTCCTTTTTTATAAATGATTTCAAAATCATAATCAGTTAAATCTACCCGAATCCTTGTCATCTTTGATGAAGGATTCTTATGTACAAATAGAGATATTAAAGGTCTGTGATCGGTTATTACATAGAAATGTTTGCCATATACATATGGTCGAAAATAGTTTATTGCCCAATGTATCGCAAGAAGCTCCTTTTCAATGACCGGTTTATTCAGATCATGTTTTTGTAGGGTTTTGCTTGCGTAGCATATTGGCAAATCTGCACCGATTTCACCTTGTGATAGTACCGCTCCAAGTGTTTGTTGAAATCTGAATATCTTAAAACAGGGGCACTTATTAGTATAGTCTTGAGTGTATCGAA